CTGCTTCTCCCTCTCCCACTCCCCCTGCTTGTGTTCCCTCTCTCGCTGTGTCTCTCTCTGTCAAATAAATTAATAAAATCTTTAAAAAATAAAAAAATAAAAATAAACTAGTCTTTCATTCCTGGAATAAACTCAGCTCTTATGTTATTGCTTTTATAACTCATTGGATATTCAATTTGCTATACTCTATTTAGGATTTTTGAGTCTGTTCAGAAGAAAGATTGACCTATAATTTTCATTTCTTGTTAAGTCTTCCTCAGATTTTGCTGTCATGCTTGCCATATAGAATGAGTTGGAGAGTATTCTCTTTTTTTATGCTCTTTGGAAGAGTTTATTGTATAACAGTTTTGTTATTTCTTTCTTAAATGTTTGGAAACATTCATTGATGAAGCTATCTGGGCTTAGATTTTTCTTTATGGGAAAGCTTTTAATTATGTGTTTTAGTCAATTATTAGATATATGACTGTTTACACTTTTATTTCATCTTGTGTCAGTATTTCTATGACATCTAAAGTTTCAAAATTTCTAGGCCTAAAGTTGTTCATAATATCTTCTTTTTATCATTTTAATGTCTGCAGGGTCTTCATTATTTCCTTCTGCTTTCTCTTAGTTTAAATTTGCTTTTTTGTTGATATTTCTATTGCCTCTTAAGACTGGTACTTATTCATTTTCAGCCCTTATATATGCATTTGAGGCTGTTTCTTTCCCTCGAAGCCAGGTTTTAGCTGCATCCCTCATTTTTGTGACATTTGTCACATTTTACTGTTCAGTTCAAAATGTTTTCTAATTTTTATTATTTCTTATTTGACCTGTGGGTTATTGAAAAATATATTGTTGAAATTCCAGATTCTTGGGGAATTTGTCTGTTTATCTTTTGTTACTGATTTCTAGCTAAATTTCATTATGGTCAGAGGACATGTTCTGATTTGTGTCCTTTTAACTTTATTGAAATTTGCTTTATAGCCTAACATGTACTTGAGTAAATGTTCCATAGAGACCTGAAAAGAATGTGTTTTCTGTGTTGCTTATTGCACAGTCTCATATTTTGTCGGTTACGTCAAGTTTGTTCATCTTTTATTCAAATTTTTCTCTTCCTGCTCATTTTATCAGCTTATAATATCAATTATTGAGAGAGGCTTATACAGTTTCAAACTGTGATTGTGAATTTGTCTGTTTCTTCATCTTGGAGCCCTGGGATCCCATCTCTTTTACTGACTTTGGATGATCCATTTCAATGGTACCATCGACTGCTTTCACTCCCACCCTACTGTGGACGGTCACTATTGTGCTTCTCAAAGATGTCAGTGTTCCCCTCACCTGTGTACTTTCCAGTGCTGTGATACGAGAGATGTCCTCTAGGATATGGGGAGGGCGAGAGGGCAGGTTTCAGGAGGAGGGGTTGTCTGAGCCAGTCACACATAGTATTATATATCAATATTTTCAGCTTCTTAAACTTTAGATTCCTTCCTCTGAATTCTGTCAAGGGATACCAGATAGCTCAGCTTCACTCAGCATAGGTCAGTGTCAAATTCCAAGTTTGAGTCCACTAGCTGGTGGTACATTTCAAATCCCTCCCAGCTACTCATGATAATCTTGAAACCAGGATCTCTGGTAGGTATAACCGTGTCAGTGAATTTAGTTCTACATAGAAGGATCTTTGCATGGTTCACTCTTGCTGATCAGGCGTCTCCAGGACCCATTCCACACACACTCCCACAGTCTGTCACTACAAATGTGGTAGGTAGAATAACGATATCCCAAAGTTGCTCATGTCCCAGCCCATAAAACCTATAGATCTGTCACCTTCCATGGTAAGGAGCCAAGGATGTGGAAGAGAATAAGTCCAAGTGCTTTGAAATCTACAGCAGTTTGTTTGGAAAAACAAATATGTTATCACATTTATTGTCAAGACCACCCAGTTAGAAGCCGAACAAGGCTGCCTTGCACTTTGCCTCATTGTTCTATGAGCCTGTCCCATGTGGCTCCCTAGAGGTGGGCTGTCCGGCCAGTCTGCCATCCCACAGGGCTTCTGAGCGTCTTCCAGTGCCATCTCCCCCTCATAAGCTGCAGAGACAGGTGTCACACAACAGTCTTAGTGGCTGCAGTCTGTCAGATCATCATCAGTTTTGGGGAGTGAGGTATGTACCCGGAGTTCACCTTTGAACCTGACCTGGCAGGAAGCCGCTCCAGGGTTCATCCTGACTGTAGAGCCTCTGTCACTGCTTTTGGCAGAACTCCTCCACTACTGTGCTTCCAGAAACACTGTGTGGCTGCCACTCCCCAGGATTCACTTCTGCCTCCAGCGAGGGTTCACCTCTTGATGGAAGCTAGGTCATGGGCAGATTCGCTGGCAGCAAGGGAGTCTGGGGAAGTGTAGGTTCAAAGAATTTACCAACCTCCAGTTTTCTGTACATTATCTTGATGGAGAGGGGTTGATATAGCATTTAGTGAGCCAGTCTCTAAGATAGGCAGGATATGGCCTGACTGGCAGGTGATATTTGGGCAGGCATCTGAAGGAAGTGAAGGGCCAAGCTGCAAAGATAACCTCAGAGAACAGCATTCCACACAGAGGGAACGGTTGCGGGAGAGGAAAAGGAGCTGCCATTGTTGAACTAGCCTTCGGTTTGGGGTAACTGACCAGGTCTAGTAACCATGAATTTTCACAAGGGACTTCTTTTTCTCCCTCCCAGGAAAATAAGGGAACAATGTATTTCTTTCCAAAAGAAATTATCATATGTCATTAAATCTAAAGTACCATCAATTTTTTTTTGTTGTTTGTTTTTTTGGTTTTTTTTAGATTTATTTATTTATTTTTTTTGACAGAGAGAGACATAGCGAGAGCAGGAACACAAGCAGGGGGAGCGGGAGAGGGAGAAGCAGGCTTCCCGCAGAGCAGGGAGCCCGATGTGGGACTCGATCCCAGGACCCTAGGATCATGACCTGAGCCGAAGGCAGACGCTTAACAACTGAGCCACCCAGGCGCCCTAAAGTACCATCAATTTTAAGACATTCATTATATGAGGAACCAATAAGAAAGAAAAGTTCTGCCAATGAATGATAAGAAATACTCTGACTTTAAAGATGCTAAAATGTGGGAGGAAATGTGTATCTGACAGTCCTTGAAATGGTCAAAATGAATAGATAAGATGGATCCGTGTGTCTTCTTGTGTTTGACCATTAGTCCTTGGTTTCAGAACTGTGGAAGATTTGAAAAATAATGAAAGCCAATGGAAAGATTCCCCACTGGCAACTAGACACCGTGAAATGCTGAAGCGTTGCAAAACTCAGCTTAAGGTTTGTAAAGTGAATCGCAGTCGTTCTAGATCAGCCTCTCCATAGCGATCTTCCTACCAGAATGTGTGCCTTGAGCGAGCCACGCAGCGTCCTTTATCCTTCATCATTCTTTCCCCTAAAGATAAAACACGGCACTTTCGAACTAGTTGATGATCTCACCTCAGTCTACATATAGTATTTAAATCAAGACAGAATCTGCAACTGCTTATACCAGTGACAACATGACTCCTTCCTCGTTTTATCGTCCTCAGTTTGACGTCACCTGCCTTTCTTAACCCTTCTGCGAGGTTCTTCCCCTCCGCTGCCTCCCAGCCCGTGACCCAGTGTGCCAGGCATGCATTTTCACGATGTGTGGCTGAGTGGATTTGCGGCAGTGGGAAGACCCTCTCCCCCCCCACCCACCGTCCCTCCTCCTTCATTTGTCGTTAAAAATGATCCACTGCACGGAACCTAACTGTAGACAGGAAGATTTCCGCTGGTGAGAGACAGCTGAAGACGGATGCTGGGCAAAGGCTGTACAAGGGAGTGTAGACAGCTTATTTATGCATTTATCTTGTGTTTTTGTTCAAATTATAAAACTGAATATTAGCGGGTTCTGCTTTCTGTCAGTTAGTAGGAGGATATGTGGACATTTTAACTTCGATTTCTGGTGCAAGTTAAGATAGATTTGTTTTATTTGCTAATAAACTAGACCTGCTGAGATGCAGAATACACCGGGGGCCCTTTCCTGGCGTCTGTAGACCCCCGTGAACACCCCACAGACATGTTAGAAGGCGCCTGGAAACTTTAAACAGATGCGCCAATGTGCATGCATGCCCGGGTTTCCTTCTCACAGCTGTCCTCTGAGGCGGGTGTGGGACCCTCAGTGGACAAGCATTTTGTCCAGGGGCAACTCATAAATGGTGACCTGGAATTCAGGTGCAGATTTGTCTGGCTTCTTTCCACTGACCATCTCTGACGCCCATCAGCCCTGTCCCCCAGTCAAGCTATTTAGATATGACAGTATTAACTTCCTTTTTGAGCCTTAACTATGTGCTCAGCTTTCCGCCCAGTGGTTTGCATGGCGTACTTTTGTTTTTCTCAGAACAAGGAAAGCTTTGGGGACATGACCAGCACGTTATAGCTAGTTAGAGATGAAGCTTGCGAACAGCCTAGAAGCTCGAATTCCCATCTCCTGGCCCATTCCCTGGCCAGTCAACGCTGCAGGCACTTGGCTACCAACTAATCTGTGGGTGGGGGCATACCTCCTTCCACAGAAACTGGTACGGGGCAAGGCCTGTGCTGACGCTGGTTTACTTGATGAGAGCTTTCTGAGAAGATGTCTGAATTTTTATGGCCTTCTCATTCAGTTGCTGCTCCGCGTCCTGGACCCCGCCTATCCCGAGTGAGTGTGCCCTTCCTCCTCACCTCCTCTCTCCTCGGTGGGCTGTGTTGTCGTCACTGTCCTCCAGTGGATAGCTAAAACCCAAACCCTTACTTTATCAAGAATCCGTTCTTCAATTTCTAGGTTGTACCTGTATAGACTACAGAATTAGTAGTATTAATAAGTGTTTTCCCAGTGATTACAGTAAGAAGGGAATGTCAGCACCTATGAGCTTAATTTTGACCTGGTCCTCTTTACAAATTGGCTATAGATTGATAGAAAAGGAAATCTACAGATTGGAAACTAAAACCTGGAGGTAACAGGATATTAGGCCCGTTTGAGCACTGGGTCCAGGAAAATATCCAGCCAGTTACTATTAGTTTATTGTTACTATGAAATGTCTGGACCGACTGATGTTGATGAGGTTGGCCCAAGGCCCTCTGCAGGAGTAGAAAATATTATTTAGAGTTATATATGTAGCTCTGTTGCCTCGAAACAGTTTGATTTGCATAAAATGACCAAATATGACCCTTTTATTTCCTTCGTATTTTATTACATTAGCCTTAACAGAAAAGCAGTAAAAGGAGAAACATCTCCTACACACCCTAATACATCCACTGTCTTCCTTCTTCCCTGTTCATTTCAGGTTCTAGTCTCCTGGCTTGTGTACCTTTTCCGTATTTGTGTTATAGGAGGTTTTTCCCCCAGTAAAATACTTACTTGTAATGGCCGTGTCATAGTCCTTATAGTTTCAGGTGCCATGATTTTGTGGGTTTTTTGTTTGTTTGTTTGTTTGGGGTTTTTTTGGGGGGGGGGGGCGGGTTTCCAGGGGCCATGATTTTGTTCTGTAACTTGTGCTTTTATTCTCTTTGACAGTATAACACTGCCTTTAAACTCAGATGTCCCCAAGGTATTTGCAGCATTGCCTGAGTTTTATGTAGAAGATGTTGCTGAATTTTTATTTTTTATTGTACAGTAAGTGCCTTTGACATACTGCATGTTTCTAATTTGTTTTTATACATAGAGTGTATATTGTATTATGAACTATATTGCAGCCCTGCATTTTATGCCTGAAATTTTATGTAACTGCTGTAACTGAATGCTGTCTGGAGACTGGAAAAATAAATCCCAACTATGGCACCAAGCCAGTTCCAATAATATCTTCAAGACAGAAGCAGGATTAACAATGCTGATAAAAATGTACTCTCGGAAAATTGAGTTGAATTTCTAATAATTGAGTATGTGTTTCTGAGAAACAGAAGGAGCAAACAGTTTATAAATATCTAAGTGAACATTCAAAAGCCAGAAATACCCACATCTATATTTTGTACCAAATTTTTTTTCAATTATAACATTGGAGAAAGCTTACAAAGAAATGGTTTGAGTTTATAACTGACGTTTGAAGTTTTTTGTTTTGTTTTTTTTGTTTTTTTTTTTAATTAAAACAATTATCAGAAAAAAATTTCAGGGGTGCCTGGCTGGTTCAGTCAGTGGAGCGTGTGACTCTTGATCTCGAGGTTTTGAGTCTGAGCCCTGCATGGAATGTAGAGATTACTTAAAAATAAAATCTTTAAAAAAAATTTTTTTAAGCCTTTTTTGGTAGCAAAGCTCTTTATGAAACTTACCTCATAATTTAATCATGGCTTTGGTTTATTTCCTAAAATAATATAAGTTAATATAACATGCTTCAGCCAGTAGACACAATAGATTTAAAATCTGTCTAGATATAAAGTAAACAGTCATTTGAAACTCAGCAAGTTCAAAGGAATTCAGTATCTTGGCTCCTAGACCTGTTGGCCCCTTCCCTGCTTGATGACCCTAGCATCTGCCCAGCGAGAGTTTCTGGGAGCTTTATTTCTTGCTCTTCTTGCCTCTCTCCAGATACTCTCCTCAGGTGCTTTATGAGCCCTGTACTCAGGATATTGTGATGTTCCTCGTTGTGATGTTATGTAACCAGAACTACATCCGAAATCCATATCTGGTGGCCAAACTGGTAGAAGTCATGTTTATGACCAACCCTGCTGTTCAGCCACGAACCCAGAAGTTTTTTGAAATGATTGAAAACCATCCTCTCTCCACCAAATTATTGGTCCCTTCACTGATGAAGTTTTATACAGGTAAGAGTATTCGGATAGGCAAGGTCGTCTAAAGCCAGTGGACGGAGTTACTCTAAATCTGGTAGCTGATATCCTGATGGCACTTACAAGTATAACCTACTAACCCCACCACCGGCAGAGAATGTACTGTTGCTTAGTTTTCCCTAGGGAGTGGAAATATCCCATTGACTATTCTACGCACTAGTCCCTGACGATACGCCAGGATCCACTGAAAATCAGATGAATTTTTAGCTACTTTTATAATACTGTTGTATAACTCAGTTTCTAGAACGTGGGTAAAACAAGGAGCTTGTTAAAAATGTTTATTTTGGGGGCGCCTGGGTGGCTCAGATGGTTGAGCGTCTGCCTTCGGCTCAGGTCATGATCCCAGGGTCCCGGGATCGAGTCCCACATCGGGCTCCCGGCTCAGCGGGGAGCCTGCTTCTCCCTCTGACCTTCTCCCCTCTCATGCTGTTTCTCTCTCGCTCGCTCTCTAAAAAATAAATAAAATCTTTAAAAAAAAAAAAATGTTTATTTTTGAACCCCACTCAAATCAGTGGAATCAGGCTATCAGGGAGTCTTCTCTCATTCACTAAATCCACACACATTTACTGAGTGCCTGCTAATAGCCGGGCACTGTTCTAGGTGCTAGGCTACACTGGTGAACAGACAGAGAACACATCAGACCCTCTGTAAGGAGGTCCTCCACTTCTGGATGAATTGGATTCCAAATTTTTACGCTTAATTTGGCTTTTGAACTACAAATGTGTTTTCATCAAGCTGATTAGCTTGGGACCTTGTTGACCTGTCTGCTCGTAAAGGCATAGGATTATACTAATGGTACATTTTCCTTCCAGTTTGTACATGTTGCAGTAAAGGAAGTATGTCTTTTCTGCCTTCTCTTCTCTTGAACCTAGCACATTCTGGGCACTCAGTAAGTGTCTTTAGCATTTAGTAGAGTGTACTTGCCATACTCTGGGAGAAACACTGGCTGTCCGTGAGTACGGCCACTTGCTGTTCACTGCAGCAACAGAAGTTTGAGGATTCCTCTGTGTGACAACCGTCAGTGATCAACATCCCTTCCCTGTTGACCGAGACCTGTCCTGCTCATTTGGAGCTGGTGCCATCACCTCTCCACTACTAAGGGTTCCAGCAGTCCATCTACCTCCTTTCTCTTTTGTCACCATGCTTTGTGACATCTCATAAGAGTTTCTCTGGGGTACCTGGCTGGCTCCATCGGTAGAGCATGCGACTCTTGATCTCTAGGTTGTGAGTTCAAGCCCCACGCTGGGTATAGAGATTACTTAAAAAAAAAAAAAAAAAAAAAGGAAGGAGAGAGAGAGAGAGAAAGAAAGAGTTTCTTTTCTTCCCAGCCTATGGATATCCTCTTAAACCTAAAGCAAATAGACAAGCACTTTGAAGTTTTGTTAACACCCTCACTTTGGCAACAGCAGAGAGAACACTCGTGGGTAAAAAGCCTCTTGGCCCTCCAGTCCTCTTTCATTCCTTAGTCCTGGTAGGGAGGACCTTCCTCCCTGGTAGAGAGGGCCATTCAGGTACAGATGATGAGTTACATATGTACGGGACACGACCTCATTCAGTGTCTTGCACATATCAGACTTAGTTGAAGATAATTCTGCATTTCTTAAAATAACAATAAGGTACCACCTCTTCTCACCTGTTTGTTTATTTTTTAAGATAAGAATACCTAGTGCTAATAACATAGTTGTAGAGAACTACTCTAACCCACCAATGCCTGTTTCATCTCCCCGTTAGCTAGTATGTGGAATCAGCGCTAAGAAACTCTTATGAGAATGTAAATTGGTAAAACCTTTCCAGAAGGCAGTTTGGCAGTCCACACCAAAAGCCCTAAAAATGTATACATCGTATGTATTGGTCAAGGTCCAGTAAGGAAAATAGAAACATACTAGTTATTTTATTTTATTTTAAAGATTTTATTTATTTATTTGACAGAGAGAGACACAGCGAGAGAGGGAACACAAGCAGGGGGAGAGGGAGAAGCAGGCTTTCCGCCGAGCAGGAAGCCCGACACGGGGCTCGATCCCAGGACCCTGGGATCAATGACCTGAGCCAAAGGCAGATAGATGCTCAATGACTGAGCCACCCAGGTGCCCCCATACCAGTTATTTTAATAGAATTTAAATACAGTTGACCCTTGAACAACGTAGGAGTTAGAGACCCCCCCACACAGCCAAAAATCCACTTTTACCTTTTGACTCCCCCAGGTTTATTAAAAGCCTACATTGACCAGAATGTTGAATTTGTTATGTAGTACCTTATCAGTAACATAAACAGTCAATTAACACATCTTTTGTATGTTATATATATTACACACTGTATTCTTATGAGAAAGTAAGCTAGAGGAAATAAAATGTGATTAAGAAAATCGTAAGGAAGAGGGATGCCTTCAGCTCAGGTCATGATCCCAGAGTCCTGGGATCGAACCCCACATCGGGCTCCCTGCTCACCGGGGAGTCTGCTTCTCCCTCTCCCTCTGCCCCTACTCGTGCTCCCTCGCTCTCTCTTGCTCTCTCTCAAATAAATAAAAGTAAAATCTTAAAAAAAAAAAAAAAGAATCATAAGGAAGAGTAAATGCATTTATGGTCCTGTATGTATATTTATTGAAAAAAATCTGTAAGTGGACCCATGCAGTTCAAGCCTGTGTTGTTCAAGGAGCAACCATATAAGGAACTGGTCAAATAGATATTAGAGGACAGAAAGGCAAATAAGAACTTTGGCATAAGGCAGATTATGGGTTCAGGAAGCAGCCATTATTTCTCTCCAGAGCTGGGGGAACCCAGGGAGGAGGCTGGAGTAAGTAAAATCTGGCAGCTCAAATGAGGGCCAGGACAGAACTGGAACCTAGGTCTCTGAGGAAGGACACTGGCCCGCTCATGTCTCTGAGGAGCGCAGGCTAACTAGTTCTGCGACTGTGGGACTGAGCTGGAGACTGGAGGTAGCTGCTGCTGATGGGAGGAAGGACCATTGCTGGCAGGAGCAGCCCGCCTACGGCCTGGGACCAAGTCCCTGCTGTCCTGTAGTTTTCCAGTTCTCCTGCAGCACCCCCTATTGGTGGACCCGGCAGAGGGCCGGCTGGCAAAGGGAAACTTGGGGAGTCCTAGCCCCAGCCTGGCAAAGCCAAGTATAAAGGGTGGGTTGGGGGCTGAGAGACAGCAGCTAAACAGACAGCTCACCCTTCTGCATGTAAACTTCATTTCTAGTAATCTGTGGGGATAATTATAAATGTGTGTGCACGTTTATAATGATACTGCCGCGTTATTTATAATGCAGTGTAGTGAAAATACTAAAAACAGCCTAAATTTCTTCCAGCTGTGGACAAATTAAGTAAATCACAGTTTATCCATGAAGTGGGTCTATATGAGCTGCGAAAAATACCGTGTTATTTACATTAAAAATGTCGAGTAATGAACCAGTATGTACAATATGTTGGTACACATCTGTACGATAGACAACAGCGTGGAGGAACATATACCAAAATACTAACAGTGAGTTGGTTAGTTTTTTTTTTTTTTTTTAAGATTTTATTTATTTATTTGA